GCTATAATATTTGAAAGAAATCATAACAAATTTTTGAAAATTCCATCTACTGTAGATAAGAAAACATGCAAAATGGACAATGAAGATATAATTATTAATGAGAAATTGGAAACTTTAAATCGTAACGCTATAATATTTGAAAGAAATCATAACTTTTCGAAAATTCCATCTGCTGTAGATAAGGAAACATCCAAAATGGACGATGAAGATATAATCATTAATGAGAAATTGGAAACTTTAATATAGATAGTATAGCATTTGAAAAAACCCGTGAAAAACTATTTGAAATTCCAGCTTCTAGACCAAATTTTGTTCTAGAAAGCGAAATTCAATGTTTAAAAGATGAAAACAAAAAACTACAATTAGAGAACAACAATTTGAAAAGTGACATATTCGTTTTTAAAGAGGAACTTCATATATTGAAAACAGAAAAACAATTATTTCCTGGAGGTAAAAAAAACATTAACTTCGAAAAAAATTGTTTTTTATGTACTTAATTTTTATCAATGTTTGACAATGTATTTTTACAGAACTAAAGCGTCCGGCATCATCCATAACCAGTACTCCAAAAAAAATGAGAAGTGAAACTGTTACTGTTCCTTTACAAGATACTATTTCCAGTGAATATACTACTTTTCAACTAATGTATGAGCAATCTCCATTGCAAGAAGATGACCTTTGTATGCAAGCAGAAAACAATAAGACTCATAAAAAAGAGTAAGAAAACAAATAAAGCAAAAAAAGCAAAGAAAACTAAAAAATCTAAGAAAGATCAAGGAAAAAAAAGAATAAAGGAAGTGACTTGGATTACGATTCCGATCAATATAATGGATTAACGGATAAAGAAAATATGACTGCTTGGGACGACGAAGTAAACGGAACAACTGTAAGTTTAAATGTAAAAATGTTTAAATTTAAGACATTTCTAGTGTGTTGTCGCGAGAATGGAGCGGTGTGGATTTCCCGCACTCATGGACTCAACATTTTTACCTTGTCGCGCACTTCCTCATAACATCTACTAGCTTCTGTTTTTGTACATCGAGGTTTTAGAAAAAACAATTTTTTAAGACTCATTTTTTAGTTTTAAGAACTTAAAATTTAAATATAAGAAATATATTACTTATTAAATATAACTCAAAAATTATTAGAACTACTTTGAACTTGTATTTATAATTCAATAACGATAATCATTTAAATTATTAAATTTTCTAAAATAACAAAAATTTTAATTCCTTTTTTTAAATTAAAATGATGCATTTGAGATACGGTATCTCAATACCGTATACAACATGGAAGGAAATAAAGAAGTTAAGAAGACCTTCTTTATTTGTTAGGCAATTGAGCCGAGCACTTTGGGGAGTGCACGAATTGATGAATAGAGCTGTATTGCTGGAAAGAAGTAAAAATAGATTGCCAAACCGATCCCCGAGGAAGCTACTAACACCGGTAAAAAAGGCTGTTTT